GTATTCATTATACACCATTGTAAAACAGTTATGTTCATTCTGAAATAACTGTTTTACTGAAGGAAGAAGAATATCAAAACAAAGGTAACTCTCAAAAATACACACTGATTTCCATTGCTCTGCCAATTACTATCCTTAGAAAAACTATTCAAATATGCTAGAAATGTCTTCAGATTTCTGTTTGGATAAGAGGGAAATGCTGATCAGCTCCATATCATATTTCCAATTAATGTTGAAGGAGTCTTTCCAATTATATGATCTAGCTTTACAACCATTTTACAAATTGGCTTAGGTACAAAGATAACGTAAATCCTGCCAGTAGGTTTTATTTATACGCTCTCAAAGGCCAAAATGAAGTATTTTCAGAGTATATGGAAGATGTTGGGCTGCGCAATCCTCAGCAGAAAAGGAAGTCAGAGGCCCCGTTCCCCATTATTTCAAATACTTCACTATTTCCAAGAAAAATAAGTTGTAAATGGCTGAGGCAAAAGTTCCAAATTTCTGTCTCTAGGAAAAACACCCTCACTAATTAACTAATGTTGTGTTCCCAACCCAAGGCAGAATGCTGTTGCACATTCTTTATCGCTTGTATTTACAGCAAATTTAAATGCCTTGATAATTATGCAAATTATTAAGAGTGGTAGTGATGTAGAGCAGGCGTTAAAGAGTATTCTGATTCAGTTCTCACATTGTTTTCCTTGAGTTTTGACTTTTTTTTTTTTAGAGAATTCAAATGTCTCCCCTAACTTATGGTGCACATTTTGTGGCATCTAACATTTTGAATACTGAAATCATTTTGGAAATCGGTCAATATTTAAACTGGGGCCCTCCCTTCCTTCTTCCCTCCTAGCACTGTTGACGGACTCCGAGTGGTTTATAATCCTGCTGTATGTAAACAGGATTAAAACAAACAAGGAAGGATGTAAATGTAGAGTGTAGAGAAGAGCAACAAAGATGATCAAAGATGATATAAAGAACGGCTGCTGGAATTGGGTATGTCTAGTTTAATGAAGAGAAGGACTAGGGGTGACATGATAGCAGTGTTCCAATATCTCAGGGGTTGCCACAAAGAAGAGGGAGTCAAGCTATTCTCCAAAACACCTGAAGGCAGGAGAAAAACAATGGATGGAAACTAATCAAAGAGAGAAGCAACCTAGAACTAAGGAGAAATTTCCTGACAGTGAGAACAATTAACCAATGGAACAACCTGCCTCCAGAAGTTGTGAATGCTCCAACACTGGAAGTCTTTAAGAAGAGATTGGACAACCATTTGTCTGAAATGGTCTAGGGTTTCCTGCCTGAGCAAAGGGCTGGACTAGATGGCCTCCAAGGTCCCTTCCAACTTTATTATTCTATTCTATTCTATTCTATTCTATTCTATTCTATTCTATTCTAAATATTTAAAATAATGACTACTGCTCTTTCATTGATGGCTGTAGGCATGGCATAACCACAATTATTATAATAATTATTATAACTGTTACAAAAATTACTATAAGACAAAACAATGAATGCGGAGTTCTTAGCCAGCAACACTTAACTTATGAAGGAATCTTGGACTTGGCACAATCTTTATTAGAAATGCTTTATTAACAGAGGTACTGCAAGACTGGAAAAAAGGTGACAATGACACAAAATCCATCAAAAGCAGGAAAACAGATAAAGTATTCTGTAGCCTCACTCTCACTGGGGCGCCTGCCTGCAGACTTGGGAGGTCCTCATTTGTTTGGCCTTCCTTTCTTGTAGGAGAAGAAAGAGATGATGGTCTGGATATGTCCTAATCAAGTTCTATCAAGCTTCTTTTCTGAGATCTTTTGTATTGCCAACAACTCAACTGAAGAGGCAAAGCGGGAAATCTATTTTTCTGAAATAGTTATGGTGCCAAAAGAGTCTGGGCTCACTTCTTCTACAGTGAGGACCAAGACAGTGCTAGGCCTTCTCATCCAACTCCATATTAGGGACTTTTTTCTCAGGCTTAACTGGCACAATCCCATTTTCATGACTTTTTGTTTTGTTGGCGGCAAACTTTCCTACAGGTAGTCCTTGGGTAGGGACTGCCTTGGGTGGCTACTGTTCAGTTAGGAAGGTGATATAAAGCGATTTTGCAACAAAACAACAAAAACTTTCAGTGTGAAACTGATTAAGGTCTTGTCAGTTTCAGGCAGCTACCAGCAGGCTTGAAGGTTCTAATCAGCTAATTAAGGTTATAGAGTGAGCTTGTTAACTAGCACTTAGGGAAGCTTTATATTGGGCAGAAAAGCAGTTCAAGAAGTCATAGTTTGTTTAAACAAACTCTCTGTGGTGCAAGGGGTCAAAAAAGGAGCAGGGAGGGAGGGAGATTATGGGTCACACACAGGACACTGCAGAAGAGAATTTGGAAGGAGACAGCAACAACTGGTGATCTTCCCAGTGTCCCCCTCTTTCTCAGTCATATGGGTCACTTAATGTCATCTGGTGACCACTTTGCCAGAACCAACTGCAGCCACTAAACAAGGATTTCCTGTATATTAAATAGAAATAAGGTCAAAGGGCAGAGTCAATGGACCACTAGGCCTTTTTTTGCCGTCATTTTTCTATGTTTCTAAATATATTTTTAGAATATATTGAGAGAGAGAGAGAGAGAGAGAGAGAGAGAGAGAGAGAGAGAGAGAGATGAAACGTAACTTGAATGAAGCCTCAAAAATCTTGTATATATAGTTTTTTTTTTTCTACTCATAAGTTCCTAGGCCAATGTTTTAAATACCTACAGAAGAATTTATAGTGCTGCTGTCAAGGTAACACTGATAAATAAAAAGATTAATTGAATCAGATGAATCATAGAAAGTGTGCTATTTTATAAACAGCATAATTAATTCCAGTCATTTAGAGCAGGGGTCCTCAACCTTGGCAACTTTAAGACTTGTGGACTTCAACTCCCAGAATTCCTCAGCCAGCCAAGCTGGCTGAGGAATTCTGGGAATTGAAGTCCACAAGTCTTAAAGTTGCCAAGGTTGAGGACCCCTGATTTAGAGAGTTTCCAATGAGGATTTTTATCAGTGGGGGCTTCAGACCAGAGCTATATTTTAAGAACATTTTATTCCATCAAAGCTTAGCTTTGCAGCTTGCTGAAGACAAGGCGGGAAGAAGGAGAGTGAGGCTGGAAGATGTGTTCAGCAGTGAAGTTGCCCACGTTATCCCCACATCCGAACACTGTCCTGGTGCCACGGCGGGAAACCGCAAAGGCTGGTCCACCAGGCAGGCAGCCTCGGAAGAACGACACGGCAAGGGTTATAAAGCACCAGCTACGATAGGAAGAGGTGAGGAAGAAACTCAAGATGATCCTGCCTTCACTGTCTCTGATGTAAAAAGGAAGGGGAAACACTGTCAGACTTCCAAGCTTCTGTTATTACATTTATGGTGCTTTATTTCTTGAAAGGCAGACAACTATGCAAACTGGCTCATCTGCTGAAGCTCATCCTTTTTTCTGTTCCCAGTTACCGGTAGTAACATTGGGTCCCATTCAGAGTCTGCATCCTTAGACAATATAAAGAGCTGGGATAGAGTAGCAGAACTTAAATTATGCAACAAACATTTACTTATTTAAGGTGAGCAGTTCTGGGATGAATTAAGCAGGGACTTGTGACCAGGCACTTATCATCAGGAGATAATTGACCTTATTTGAGCGTTAAATGTCCTGAGGCAAAGCTGAGTGTGCTTAAATCCTGGCAAGTTAATTATCCAGTGATTACAGTAAACTTAAAAGGTATTACAGCTAAGAATCATTTGCACAACGATGCTATTAGAAAACTAAATTCAGTGATAATTAAAAGAAATGACAATAATATAAAGTTCTCCAATCACGGATTGCTACCTAATGACTGTAGAATGGCAAGAACCGGTTAGAAGCACGAATTGCTTCTACCAACAGCATCGCCTGCTGAACTTTAAAATTTGATTTAATTCGGTTTTATCGGGGGGGAATGTATTTATGTTTTGTTTTAAATATGTTGTGCGCCGCCCTGAGTCCCGCTGGGAGAAGGGCGGCATATAAATTAAATTTATTATTATTATTATTATTATTATTATTAAGTTACTTGTGTGAAGCCGAGCTAATAAATACCCACGAGGTAAGGAGAAACATTTATCTAATTTGCAAACATACAATCTCAGTTTATTTTATTTTATTCGTATCCCACCTCTGCTATTTCCACAAATAACTCATGGTTTGTCATAGTTCATAGTTGCAATGAATCGTCAACATATTAACCCAAAATGTAAAATTTTAATAATAACACCCATGGGTTTCTAAAGAGATTTCCAGAACCATTTATTCTGTCTGTCTGTCTCCCAACTTTATTATTTTTACAAATAACACAAGGCAGTAAACACACCCAGCACACCTTCCTCCACCTCCTATTTTCCCCACAACAACAACAACCTTGTGAGGTGGGATGGGTTGAGAGGGCGTGTGAGTGGCTCAGAGTCAGCCTGCTGGATTTCATGGCTGAGGCAGGAGGCGAATTCGACGTCTCCCGCTTTCTACCCTGGTGCCTTAATTTCTAGCTATTTTTTTAATTGTTGAGCAGCTTTGGCTATTTGAAAGGAAAACTAGCTTCCCCGTCACTTCTGGTTTGTGCGGCGCACAAGTGGGTGCACAACAAACAACCAATAGCTTGATTCCTGCTGCCAAAATTCCTCCGTGTGCTACCCTCAAGTTGAAATACAAAATAAAGAAGAGATTATTATACAAATTGTGTGCTGTGGTCCATGGGATTGCGAAAAGTCAGGCAGGACTTAGCAACTGAACAACAGCAACTATTTAAGGACTGATGACTAATATGGCTCCATTATGGTCGTAATCTCAAGGACCACCTGTAGCTGGCAGCAAAAGGCCCGTTTTCTTTCTCTCTCTCTCTGCTGACACCTAGTGGTTGCCCAGACTCTGCAGCCCAGATCTGCCACCCTCATCACTTTACATGCCAGCACAGTATTAAAACAAGGAAACTTCCAGAAGCTCTCACCGTTTCATTCCCAAACAGGATGTCAACATAAGGCATGACCTCCATCAGTTGTTCCTTGTAGAACTGACTAATGAATGGTGCAGAAAGATTTAGACTGAAGATCTTGTTGTTTGCAGAGGCTTCAGTTGCGACTTTCATTATGGATTCCGGTGACACGGTCAGGAAGAAACCCTGCAAAGAAACACAGAATAAATTGCTATGCACAGAGGGTTTCGGAAAGATGGCCGCTATTAAGCGGAAAAAGAAATCCACATGAAAATAGACACCAGAGACACGACACACAATTAACAGTAAGTGAAGGAAGAACTCAAAAACACCCAATATCCTGAATATGAGAAAACAAAAAACAGACAACTGTTGCAGCTGTGATTACTACAAATGTTTAAGCATTTCGCAAGCGTATTAGCATTTCGATTACCAATGGCTGAAGAGGAAACAAGCAAACAAGGATTTGTCAATAAAAAAATTAGGTGGAAAACTATTTTCCAGTTTGTCACAACCATCACTTAGGCAGCACTCTTAGGAATTCAACAGCACAAACCTATATTTAAAAGAGAAAGAATCAGCAATCCAATGAGAACATCTCTGAATTTCTATTCTACAAGTTAAACAAACCATTACGGTACTAAGCAGTTAGCCTATTATCACCTTTTCATTCCCAGAAGATATAAAATATGACATTACTTTTCTATTTTAAGGTGTTCAGATTGATCTCAAATAGTGTAAGTGGTGGTAGCTGGTAGGAATGTTCAACATGTGATCTATTTACCTGATGTGGATTTAAAATTCTGAATTCTTCTTTATTGGCCAAGTGTGGCTGGACACACACAAGGAATTTGTCTCCGGTGCAGAAGCTCTCAGTGTGCGTACAAGCAACAAGTGATAATTATAATCATAAAATACAATCATCATAAATCATAATCCAACACTTTCTGTATGAGAATTACAATATTTATCTATAGATAGAGATTAAGATGGACCTAAAGTTAAAAACAGTTGCCTGATCAATATCTTGGGAAACTGGACTTACATTTATTTAATGTGACTGTTTGAATCATATGCCCTTTTCACATTGTCTTGAACTATATATAGAAAAATGGCATAAACTACGTAATAAACAATTGTGTTACTTTCCTAGTATTAAAGTAAAAATCTATAGCTTATATTACAAAAATCTGCATTAAACATGTAGGAGCACAAATCCAATGCATTTAATGAAGTTTACATCCAGATAAATGTTTGTAAGATCACAGCCAAAAAGATGCTTTGGGAGTTAATGGAAAGAAGAGTCAACAAATAAAGAATCTCTCTGTGTGTGTGTTTGTGTGTGTGTGTGTATACACACTGTACAGGATTGGATGGGTTCCTCTGTTCTTCAAGCTTTTAATAAAAGTTCAACAATCCATTCTGAATCATTTTCATATGATATAATTATGATTACTATGAGTTTTGAATGTGTGTTTCTATCTTTTAATGCATGTTTCTTTTTTATATTTGTTGGGCTCTTAAGTATGCACTAAAGAACGCTGTAACTATAGCCAACTTCAGTGACTATATAATTATAGACTTTTACGTGATACATACTAATTATATTTTAACAGCATGTTTTTCACTTTTTTTAAAAAAAAAACTATTTCAGTTGCTTTGACTTAATTATTGAGCATATATGTGCAAAAGCATGTGCTACACTGAGATTTTTTGAAAGGAATGCTGCATTAGGAAACATAAAAGCATTAGAAGTTATGAATCATGCTCACAACATTTATTATTCCTGAAATCTGCATGGGCTAAGGCAGAATGTGCCAAATATTTCTCTTTCAAAATGTGCTGCTAAATATATAATGAGCTTGTTTTCCATATCTACAAAGTGCTATAACACCTCTCTACCACAAGATAGTAACTGTAATGGGAAATAAATGAGAACTGAATGAAGTGGTTTAAATAATTTATATGAGTACTGAAATAAATGAACACTTCTCAGGTTTTTTTTTCCTTAGCTCTATTTAGAAATCTGAAAAAATGTGATCTGTTTCCTCTTTTGTGAGAGGAAATAAAAAGACCAGGGAAATGACATATAAGTGATCGTTACTTACAATGTCAGTGCAGCATGGACAAATAAGTGCTGATGGTTAATGGTAAATAACATTTATTCTAAGGGTTAAGAAAAGGTTCCCCTGTTGACATACAGCCCTACGCTTTAGTATCACAGAGAAGTCAAGGGGAGATCCTATTTCTACGGATTCCCTCTTGGGAGGTGTATAAGATGTGTATAACTTACTTGGTACTAGTATTCCTTAATTAGTTATACAAATGGTTCTCAAGGATATTTGCCTCTTCTGGAAAAGTGAGGGATTCTAAAATAGGACACCGTCTGTTTTTTTCAAATCCTTCTGTTGCACAAGGGCATTAAGGCCAACTCTACCATCAATTTTGTGGCAACACTAAGTTTATTTGAATGAGATTTCCTGTTATTGACTTACAAAAGAGTTAAGCACTTATTTTCTGCAGTTATTTTGTTGTTACTTTTGTTCACACATTATCTTCGGCAAATCATCTTTAGTGAATTACCTCAAGGAATTTTTAACACATCAGAGGCATCAGAATTGATCAACTGCTAAATCCGTTCAGTGAAAACAATTTTAAAAAAGACAATTTGGTTGACTTTGGGAAATTTTACTGTCATCCTCTCCCCCACTTAGTTATCTTTACTGGTGTTTTAAACCAAAATGAATTAGAACAGGAGCAGAAGGCAATTTGGAGCTGATTTTCCACAGGGATGCAGAATAACATAACTTTTTTGGCTTGAAACATCTGTTGTTCCAAAAGAACTCTAATACTGCCCAATGCACAAAAAATATCAAAAATTAAACACTCAACTAATAACCTTAAAGGTTAATGTTAAGGATGATGATGGTTGAGAGACAATCAAATGAGGGCAACAGGCCAAGCCAGTTGGTTGACCTTGGGCCGGTCAACCTTTCTCAGCCCTAGGAAAGAGGCAATGGCAAGCCACTTCTGAAATCTTGTCAAGAAAATTGCAGGGACTTGTCCTGGGAGTTGTCAGCAGTCAATAATAACTCAGAGCACACACCACCACACACACAAAAGATGCTCACATTACCCATAAGAGTGATGGGACAATCAACACGGGGTCTTGAAAAAGACGGTTCAGAGAAATGTGGGAAGGATTTTAAAGAGCGCAGAGGGGACCCAGCCAGCATTATTCATTTTTATGGCATGTTTGAACCCGTTTCTATCTGCCAATTCTCTGCTGAAATATTAGCTGACCGTTTAGGATTTTAACTTATTTAATCCAGAGTGTGCCTGTTTTCAAATGTGACTGGATTACGAGGGCCAAAAAAACAAAAGAAACTTTTCCCCAACGCTTTGAATAAAGCTTTTGGCATCCTGCAATTTGTATTGTTTATTTTAATGGAAACAGAGCTTCGTAAGTGGAAAATGACTAAGATTTCAGCTATTGTTTTATTTCAAGTGGGCAGTTTTCCCATTTTTGATGAAAGCTAAATTTCAAACAGCTTTTCTACTTAAGTAAAAAAGCTGAACTGTCAGGGTATATGCTTATATTTAGCCTGACATTTTCTTTTAAATTAGTGCCAACATGTGAAGAGGAGAGGACTACCTCAAGACTGGAACAGTTTCATTAATGCTGAAACAAACTCTTAATTGTTGCCAGGTTGATATTTATCATGACAACAGCTGCAAAGCAAGTCTACAAGATAAAGTAGTGAACATTAATAGCTTTACAGCTTACCTTAAGCATGTTAAAGATTATACTTTGAAAATTAACATCAATTTCTAATTATTAAATGTCAGGGCCGCTTCCCAGACAACAGCTTTATATAAATCCAAGACGTTTCTGCCTTGGAAATGGATCTTGGCCTCCGGGAGGGAAAACACAGCAAACATTATTCATAAAAAGTAGGCCACGGCCATCACCAAACCCAACGTCTAAAATAGGTTGGGAACTAAATTAATGGGCTCCTCAGAGCCTGGGAAACAGAATAATGATTTGCACGACATTGTAAGCACAGAACATCTGCACATTCTTCCTTTATCAGGAAAATATGTAGCCATCTCCCCAGGTACATCAACAGGTGGCTAGCCAGAGGATCAAGAAAGCTCCAACTTAGGAAAACTAGAGATATATTGGCTGCTAAAATAAACATCTTCAATTGCCAAAGGTTTCTGTAATCTAATTCCCCTTTTCCCTTCAATAAATCTCTTTAAAGAAGACCCTGAGGGTCTCACTCTGGGGAAGAAAGTCTGGTAAGGATGTGGCAAGAGGGTCCCCAAAATAACGGCCCTCGGCCTGTCTCCCTGATGGCTAAAGGAGGGAAGGGCACAATCTCACACAGAGCTTGAGATACATCAGTGACTTGTTGTTATCTTTAGATGATCCCTCAGACCGGTCCTCTTTTATGGTAGAGAGCTATCCTGCTGATAGCGGATTGCCCGATATCTGGCTCAATATCCAACATATCAGATGTTACTATCAAGTTAGTATCATACCAAACTCTCATGACTGCAAGAAAAGTAAAAGAGATCACAGCCCGTCTTCTGGTCATGGTCTGGTCTCAAAAGCCTCCTTGGATGAGGAAGAGCACAACAGAGAATCTATGTTACCAGAACCAAGGATGTCCCAAAGGTGCTTTTTTCCAGGTGGCAACCGGACTTCCTTGTTTTTCTTTGAAGACGTTTCGCTTCTCATCCAAGAAGATTCTCCAGTCAGAGCTGAAGATGCTTCTTGGATGAGAAGCGAAACGTCTTCAAAGAAAAGCAAGGAAGTCTGGCTGCCTCCTGAAAAAGCACCTTTGGGACAACCAGGACCTTGGATGATGGAGAGCCTCCACAGACAGAATCAGTGATGATGCTGAGCCCACTGGTCCCGCTCTTTCAGCCGCCTCCATCCTGCCCTCAAAACCGCGGGCAACGGAGGAGAACCCATCAGATAACAAAGAGGCTGAAGCGTGCTCCTCCATGCCAAAAGGACCCTATAACTGAATATAGGAGCCCAAATCTAACCATGGCTAGTTCTGCCTGGGTAAGCTCCAAGGAGAGCAATCTGGCCTTGGAAAGATCACTGGAACAATGCTGATCTGTGAAGGCCTCTTTTAACTCCTGGCTACCAAAGTGCCTTTCCTGGATCCGAC